TAGTAGCTGTGTAGGGGGTAGGGTGGGCGCCGCGAGAGCAAGCTCTCATTGACATTGCTTTTCAGTGCTACGATTCTCCATTGGTGTCATATTGGTGCAATGCTGCTTTCTGAACACTGTGATACGATCTGGCTTTCAATATGATTGTGCAATCTGAATATTGTCATCTCGCTTTTGCTCATTTTCCTTGCATTATCAAAAACAAAAAAGAAAAATCATCAAAGATTGCAGTGAAAAAAAAAGACATCCACCTCCTCCTCGACCTCCTCCTCCTCCCCCCCCTACTGTTCTTCTTCTTTTTCCTTCTCCTCATCATCCTCCATCGTCAGGGCCCATTTCTCCTCCTCCACTGCCTCGTCACCTTCTCCTCCTCCTCCTTCTCCTCCTCCTCCTCTTCTTCTTCTTCCTCCTCCTCGTCCTCTTCCTCCTCCTCCTCCTCCTCTTCTTCTTCTTCCTCCTCTTCCTCTTCCTCCATCGCCTATGCCCCCTTCTCATATTCCTCCTCCTCCTCCTCTTGTTCTTCTTCTTCTTCTTCTTCTTCTTCTTCTTCTTCTTCTTCTTCTTCTTCTTCCTCCTCCTCCTTGTCGCCCTCCTCCTCCTTCTCCTCCTCCTGCTCCTTTTCTTCTTCTTCCTCTCCTCTTCTTCGTGTGTAGCAGCGGGCCCTTTATTAACCCCCACCCCTCCCCCCCTTTTTACCATTTTTTTTCGTTTTTGCTCAGAATGGCCTGATTTTTTTTGGGGGGGTCCCCTAGTGGTGTGCAGACCCCCCCCTGAGTTTTTTTCGTTTTTTCCTTTCCTTTTTTTGGCCAAAAAGCTGCTGTCCAGGATACCGGACAACTCCCCCCTCATCGTCTCCCGGAGACATCCGGGGGAGACATCTCCGGATTGGACAGCTGGCAGCCTAGAGAAGAAGTCAAAATAAAATGGTGCTTCATGCACACTGGGGAAAAGGGGGGGAAACCTGCTCCTCTGGATAGCAGAAATTCAGATGTACTGTTCAACTACCCCTGTAGAGGACTATGAAACTGAGCGTTCATTGAAAGCGGGTTTTCCGTTCAGTTTTTTAACGGAATGCACATGCGTTCAATGAACGCGACTGAACGCAGAGTTCAAAGACACCGTGGGCGGCTCGCTCCCTACGGCGTTCGGATACGCTGTGCTGGGGAGAGAGAGAGAGAGAGAGAGAGAGAGAGAGAGAGAGAGAGAGAGAGAGAGAGAGAGAGAGAGAGAG